ATTCTGTCGGTTGTCTTTTTGTTTTCCTTATGGTTTCCTTTGCTGTGCAGAAGTTTGTAAGTTTCATTAGGTCCCACTTGTTTATTCTTGCTTTTATTTCTATTGCTTGGGTAGACTGTCCTAGGAGAACATTTTTGAGATGTATGTCAGATAATGTTTTGCCTATGTTTTCCTCTAGGAGGTTTATTGTATCTTGTCTTATGTTTAAGTCTTTAATCCATTTTGAGTTGATTTTTGTATATGGTGTAAGGGAGTGTTCTATCTTCATTGCTTTACATGCTGCTGTCCAGTTTTCCCAACACCATTTGCTGAAGAGACTGTCTTTATTCCATTGTACATTCTTGCCTCCTTTGTCGAAGGTTAGTTGACTGAAAGTTTGTGGGTTCATTTCTGGGCTCTCTGTTCTGTTCCATTGGTCCATATGTCTGTTTTTGTACCAATACCTTGCTGTCTTGATGCCTGTAGCTCTATAGTATTGTCTGAATTCTGGGAAAGTTATTCCTCCAGCCTCTTTCTTTCTCTTCAGTAATGCTTTGGCAATTCTAGGTCTTTCGTGGTTCTGTATAAATTTTATTATGATTTGTTCTAGTTCTGTGAAATATGTCCTGGGTAATTGGATAGGGATTGCATTAAATCTGTAGATTGCCTTGGGCAGTGTGACCATTTTAACAATATTGATTCTTCCAATCCAAGAGCATGGAGTATCTTTCCATTTTTTAAAGTCTTCTTTAATTTCCTTCACCAATGGCTTATAGTTTTCTGTGTATAATTCTTTCGCCTCCTTGGTTAGATTTATTCCCAGATATTTTATTATTTTGGGTGCTATTTTAAAGGGGATTGTTTCTTTCCTTTCCTTTCCTTTTGATTCATCGTTAGTGTAAAGAAATGCAACTGATTTTTGTACGTTAATCTTGTAACCTGCTACCTTGCTGAATTCTTCGATCAGCTCTAGCAGTTTTTGTGTGGACCTTCTAGGGTTTTTTATACATAGTGTTATGTCATCGGCATTTAGTGACACTTTTGCCTGTTCTTTCCCAGCTTGGATCCCTTTTATTTCTCTCTCTTGCCTGATTGCTGTGGCCAGGACTTCCAAGTGTATGTTGAATAGGAGTGGTGATAGTGGGCAGCCTTGTCTTGTCCCGGATTTTAGTGGGAAAGTTTTGAGTTTTTCACCGTTGAGTACTGTGCTGGCTGTAGGTTAGTCATATATAGCTGTCATTATGTCGAGATATGTTCCCTCTATACCCACTTCGGTGAGAGTTTTTATCATAAATGGGTGTTGAATTTTATCAAATGCTTTTTCTGCATCTATTGAAATGATCAAGTGGTTTTTGTCTCTAGAATGTATAAGCAGCTCAACGACTTAATAAGAAAAAAAACAAACAACCCAATCCAAAAACGGGCAGGACACCTAAACAAGCAATTCTCCAAGGAAGACATACAAATGATCAATAGGCACATGAAAAAATGCTCAATATCACTAATTATCAGAGAAATGCAAATCAAAACTACACTGAGGTATCACCTCACACCAGTCAGAATGGCCATCATTCAAAAGTCCACAAATGACAAATGCCAGAGAGGCTGTGGAGAAAAGGGAACCCTGCTACACTGCTGGTGGGAATGCAGTTTGGTGCAGCCACTGTGGAAAACAGTATTGAGAGTCCTGAAAAGACTAGAAATAGACTTACCATATGACCCAGGAATCCCACTCCTGGGCATATATCCAGAAGGAACCCTAATTCAAAAATACACCTGCACCCCAATGTTCATAGCAGCACTATTTACAATAGCTAAGACATGGAAACAACCTAAATGTCCATCAACAGATGACTGGATAAAGAAAAGGTGGTGTATTTATACAATGGAATACTATTCAGCCATAAAAATGACAACATAATGCCATTTGCAGCAACATGGATGTCTCTGGAGAATGTCATTTTAAGTGAAGTAAGCCAGAGAGAGAAAGAAAAATACCATGAGACTGCTCATATGTAGGATTTTAAAAAAAGGAACATAAATACAAAACAGAAACAGACTCATAGACATAGAATACAAACTTGTGCTTGCCAAGGGGGCGGGGGTGGGAAGGGACAGACTGGGATTTCAAAATGTAGACACTGACAGGCATATGCAGAACAGATCAACAAGATTGCACTGTGTAGCACAGGGAAATGTATACAAGATCTTGTGGTGGCTTACAACAAAAAAGAGTGTGACAATGAATGTATGTATGTTCATGTATAACTGAAAAATTGTGCTCTACACTGGAAATTGACACAACATTGTCAACTGACTATAACTCAATAAAAAATGTTTTTAAAAAAAGGAGAGAAAATAGAGACACAGACACACACAGGACAGAAGGACATGTAAAGGCGAAGGCAGAGACTGGAGGGATGTGGTCACAAGCCAAGGGATGCCTGCAGCCCCAGATGCTGGGGGACACAAGGAAGGACCCTATCCCGGAGCCTTTGTTGGGAGCACAGTCCTGCTCATGCCTTGATCTCAGACTTCTGGCCTCTAGAGCTGTGAGAGAATACATTCCTGTTGTGTGAAGTTGCCTAGTTTGTGGTGTGTTGTTACAGCAGCCCCAGGAAAACAAGAGGAAAAGCTGTCACTGTCACAGCCCTCCAACCCGGCAGGCACCAGGATGCAGTGCTTCCCTCGCTCCCAGGATCCCCCGTCAGTGCGTCTGACCCTGGGGGCCTGTGGTTTCCTGAACCAAAGCCGGAATGTCGGCCTTGGGGCCGTGGACACTGCTCAGCTGGGCTGTGGGGCCCTCGGCCGGCGGCTGGACCAGCTTGGGGAGCGGACGTGCCCCGCCTGTCCCTCCCGCCCCCCGGCAGCTCCTCCGGTGCAGCGTCCACAGGGACAGTGGCTCCCGGGCCCCAGTGACTAGTCATCATTTAAGTGCTTAAGCAAAGCTCCCCCAGCCACTCCCAACGCCCACTCAGCCTCTTTGGAGACATTTCTCTTCGCTGCTTTGAAGATGAGTGATTTTTAAAGGCCACAGCATTCAGACAAACTCGGGGGGCGGAGATGGTTGGAGTCCAGCACGCTCCAAAGAGGGAGTGCGCTGGACTCCACCAATGCCTCCAGGACACAGGGAAAGGGCTGTGGCTGGGCGAGGGGCCGCCAGCAGGGCAGCTCAGAGAGGAGCGGGCCAAGGAAGGGCAGGGGCCACGGAACAGAGCATGAGTTCAAATCCTGCACCTGGGTCACTCGATCCTCTGAGCTGTCTCCACCTCTAAACGGGCCAGGGGGGATTAGATGTCATCACCGTGTGGCTGACGTCACTGCAGCCATCATCCCCAAATAAAGAACCCAGCGCCTCGGAGCCCCTTGCCCGCTGTGTGACCTTCTGAAGTCTCTTGCCCTCTCTGGGCCTCTGGCTTTGATTATAAATAAGGAAGTGGGAGAAGGAGGGAAAGGTGACAACTGCTGAGATGAGACACTAGCAGGGCAGTAGGAGGCCCGCCTGGCTGAGTGCCCCCTGCCGTGTAGAAGCACAGCCTGAGGGGCACCCGGCCCCGCCCGCCGCAGGGTCCTGCGGGCAGTGACGGATGCTTGTGTGACTCTCCGCTCCCGCAGCCCGGCCCGGAGCCCAGGGCCTGGCACAGTGCTGACATGAGGAAGACGCTGGCTGTGGGACGGGGGCTCAAGCAGACGGAGGGTGGCCGGTGCAGCTGAAGCTGAATGATGAGAAACGTCTCTTCTTTCGCTTCCAAATTTTCTTAATCAAAGCCGGCGCAGTGTTCCCCTTTACGAAACAGGGGACTTAGAGCTTGATGACCGTTCTCACACAGTGACTTTTATAGTTACACTGCAGTCTGGGCAAACGATGCTGGCCTCTGCTCTTTTTTTTTTTTTTTTTTTTTGGTTAATGGAAGGACTGAGGATCGAACCCAGGACCTCGTGCATGCTAAGCTCATGCTCCATCCCTGAGCTATCCCCCCCGCCCCGTCTCTATTCTCGAAAAGGCTGTGAAGTTTCCTTTGAAATAAACTGAGGCAATAATAAAAATGAACTCAAATGTTCTCGTCAGAACTTTTCCTCTGTGAGATCTTTGGTGGGGGTTTCTCGGGTACCGGGAGCTCTGCAGGGAAGAGCCTGCCACATCCTGGGACCTGGGGGTCCAGCGACGACCGTTCTCAGAGGGAGACTGCGTGATCTGAGACAGAAAGATGCCTCAGGGCGCTGGCTGGTCACTTACTTTCTCAGCAGGGTGATTCCTCCCTGCAAAGCGCGGGTGACAAGTAGGCCCCTCCCAGGAGCGCGGCAAGGATTAGAGTCTCAGATTTGACGAGGTTCGAGCCCCTACATGGCAGGGGGGTGGTTGTCATCACTACATCCCAGTGGAGCAGGGGCTGCGCTGTCTCCATTTTATGGATGAGGAAACAGAGACACAGAGCCCTTGGCCACAGAAGGAGTCAGTCTGAGGCCAGAGTCCGACTTCTGAGCCGCTGTGGGTCCCACTGCACCCAGGTCCACATGGCACGTGGAGCTCATCGCAGCAGGGAGGAGGTTTCAGTGCGCCCCCCGGCTAGGGCAGGGGTGTCCCCATACTCTTTCACCCACGTGAACAGCGCCAGTGGCCACAGCCCTTCGTGCATGAGCCCTGAGGAGCGTGAGCGGGTTCCCACCTTCAGGGTCTGGCCCTGGCCTCCCAGGCACTGCAGCTGCCACCCCCCACCCCCAAAACTCGGACTCTCAAGATGCGGTTGTGTTTAGCACACATTTGATGACGGGTTTGCAGCTGGGGTGTCTTGGGTGAGGTCAGCTGCCTCCCTGCCTCTCTGGTCCTCCCTCCGGGGGCCCCTGCCCACGTGGAAGGGCTGCTGGGGACCTGGGGTCTGTGGGAGCCCTGAGCTTCCAGCCTTACACACGTTTCTGCGCGTGGGGTCTGGTTACACCCGGACGTCCCGGAGTCCCAGAGAAAGGCCATTTTTCTTTCAGGTGATGCATTCTGAGATCAAAGCCCAGCAGAGACTGGAGTCTGTCCCTGAGTCCTGAGCCTGGATAATGGGCCCCCTACTCCCACTCTGGGCACCTGAATGAGTCTGGAGAATCCGAAAGGAATTTGGAAGTGACACTTTAAAGGAACCCGCTCATGGGGAAATGAGCTATTTTTTGTTGTAAAGACAATGGGGTGGGTTGACATTGGAGGAAATCCGGAAAAAAGGTCCCTCCATTCCTCCACGCTAATCACTCTTGTGACTTGTGTCTGCCCCCTGCCAGGACCTGGCCCCAGATAATATATGGACATCACTTTTTTCATATAAAAATTTCTAGATGTTTTTCTCCTATTTGCAAACAAAATACACGTTCAATATTTTATGCTGCTTTTCCACTTAATATTTTATCATGAGCTTTTCCCAACCCAAGACATAACCTTCATAATTATCCTTAAAGGTGTGTGATAAACAGTCCTGAGTCAGGTTGTGGAGCCTGGTGGTTCAAAGCCCAGAATCCAGCTCCCTGCCTATGAATGCGGCTCGGTCCCTCGGCCACTGAGCACCTGCAGGCAAGTTGCTTGACCTCTCTGTGCTTCTGTTTTCTGGCTCCTGCTAGTCATAGCCCCTGCCCAGTAGGGTTGTTAAGAGGCTTAAAGGAGTTAATATTTATAAAATGCTTAAAAGAGCATGTCCTCTATAGCAAGCACTGTTTCAGTGTCTGGCAAATAGATCGTCACTTTGTGTCAGACTCTGGGTGTGCCCAGCCCTGCTGGCTACAAACCACACCCAGATTAGCAGTGCCACCTGCCTTCCTCATTCTTGCTGACGGTTACTCAAAAGGGTGCAATGGGCAGGTCTGGGTCCTGAATTCACAACGCAGCTCATGCACTCACCCCCGTGTGCCCCTGAGCCAACTGGCTACATTCTGTGCCTCAGTTTCTTCATCTGTGGAATGGAGCCAGGAGTCTCTACTGTCTGTTGTGCAGAACTCAGGTGCAATGCAAAGGAGAGGGGGGCGTGAACGTGAAGAGGAAGACACAGCCCTAACATGGCACGGTGTTGGGGAAAATGAAATGTGAGAGACTCGGAGTGTAGGAGGGACCCACGATTCTTGCTGAGTGGCCAGTGAGGGTTGAAAACCAGCCAGCATGAGGGGCAGGGACTGCTTCCTGACCTGCCCAGGCACACTGGGACCCCCAGCTCCTGCCCAAGGACCTGAAGTTGTCACTGTCACCTGTCTTTGTCACCTGTCTCCTCTCTGGTAGCAAGTGTCTGCTGACTATCCCCACCCACCCCTGCCTCCACCAGGAAAGCAATGTGTCTTGTCCATTCTGTGTCCTCAGCCTGACACGAAGCAGGAAGTCAAAACATTGTTGAATGGATGAATGGATGATAAAATGTTAGTAGAGGACTTTCAGGCTGTATTTTGGTCTCACAGATGGTCTAAGACAGCAGTTTCCACAGCTGGTGGATGTCAGATTTGCCTGGGGAATCTTGTCTGACTTTTGGAAGCAACTGAAGACTGGGGGGCTCATGGTGAAGATGGTAACATCCCCCTAGTGCTCAGGCCACGCACTGAGCGGCTGTCAGGGTCTCCAGGGGGACACAGGTGTCCTCCTGGTGGATGTCAGTGGCCTTGAGGTCTCGTCTGTCCGATTTAAGACACAGATGAGCCATAAGTGGTTTGAACCTGATGGGTGGAACCCTGCGGAGTCATCCCAGGGGAAGAAGTACGGAGACCCAGATGCTGACAAACTTCTTTCGGGGAAGGAATTAAGACCTGACATTTCAAGAACACTTTTACGACAGATTTGTGCTGAGAAAGCAAGTTCCTTCCTGGGGAATCTTCTGGAATGGCCTTGTACCTTCAGATCTCTCGTGGGCAGGTCCCCGAGACCTGGAAGAGCCTCTGGCTTCTGTGGCTTTCCTTTCCTTTCCCCATCCCAGGGCCAGCATGGGGGTTACCTCCCAGGACAGAGGTGGCCTGCTGGAGGCCCTGGCCACTGCCTGAATCCAACAGTGGTTTGGAATTGGAAAGCAAAAATGAAAGGGAGATGAAAGTGTGCAAATGTCGATCTTGTTGCAGGTCGGGGAGGCTGGTCCTTCCACAGGGCATTCTGAAGGGACATCCTCCTCTTCCTCCTCCTCCTGGACTAGCAGAGGTCCACTCCAAAGGCTCCTGAACTTCTCGGGGGCCGGGAGGGCTGTGTAGTGCCCCTGGCTTCTTGTCTATGAGGGCTGGGAACGAGGCATGGCTCGAAAAGCCTGCAACCCAGTCTCTCAGGTGTGAAACGGATCTGCGTGGTGAAACATGTGTGTGTGTGTGTGTGTGTGTGTGTGTGTGTGTGTGTGTGTGTGTGAGAGAGAGAGGAGGGGGGTGGAGGGGAAGGGAGGGGGAGGGAGGAACATCTGGAGACGTGAGTGGCTCTCCAAGGTGTGAACTTTGGCCCCCTGGCTGGTTTTGCTCCAGCGGTGGCGGACTCTGTAGAGTCCCAGCCTCAGCAGAAGCAGGAGGCAGACGTGATGGAGAGTGCTCTCAGCTCTCCTGGGGGCAGGGTGGTGACAGCCTTTGGAGAGCCACGAGGAGTGGCTCACGGAGTGCCCTGTCACTCTCAGAGGCAATGTGGCTGCAGTGACAGGTAACCAGCACTGAGCTGAGCCCAGCAGAGGAGAGAGGAAGGAAGGGAAGGAGAGTTTTGAAGGAGCAGGTGCTTGCCGAGTGCCTCCCAGCAGTGCAGTCCCCATGACAGCCTCACGAGGGCGCTACTGTCACTGTGCCCATTTCTCAGATGGAGAAACAGGGAAGGTTACATCGCTACCCAGCTCCTGGATTTGGGAAGAGGAGGTAGTGGGACACAT